GTAAATTAAAGCTAGATATTTAAAAATGATTCTTCTCTGCTTTTTTCTTTTGGCATTTCTTTTTCCTTTAGGAACCCAGCTACTCAGTGACTAACATGTATTCACTTTTTCTGTCTCTCATTATGATGCTCCACCTCACTCCTGGTCCAACCTAGAGGTATCCCCCCAGGACTTACACTTCCCTGAGGATCAGCTTATGTTTCTCTTGGGCCCTTTCCTAACTCACTTCCCATTTGTTACAACTTAAAGAGGTGGTCGTCATATCCAGTGAGTCATATATTTGAGCTCCATGCCACTCTTAGGAGACAAAACATTTCCATTGTTAAAAAGATTCATAAACAAAGAAAGGAAAAACATTTAAAATTTTCAGATTTTCCTTTGGAACCTACAAAGAGCCAATTTTCAAGCATTATTCATTTATGGAAGTCTCAATTTAAGTCAATAAATAAAATTATGGTGCTGTGTCTATAAAATTTACTCAGTACGACTCCCTAGTGATTTTTTTTTTTTTAAACAAAGTCCATATATTCCAATTAGGATGAGCAGGAGTTTGGCTTAGAATGGAAGCCAAATGGAGCCAGACGAACTGGAAACTTAAGAAACTGGCCCCATCGATGGAGTCTCTTTCCCTACATCCCCTCCCAGGCACTTTTTTTTTTTTCAGTTATTGCCACTACCTTCCAAACTCTAATCCCACATGGCCAAGTGTGGTTTGAGCACTGCCATGTGAATGTCTTGCTGTCATTGCTTCTCCAACTCGGTATATCCAAGAACTCATCCCTCATCACTCCACATCATTTCCACATTTGATCAGTTCCTGAACTCAATAGTATTGCCAGTAACACCAGCCAAACATTGAAGTTGAAAACTTCAGTACCAGTTTGCTGTTGCTGCTGTACCATTAACTTAGTGGCTTCAAACACAAAATTGTTATCTTAGAGTTCTGCAGGTCAGTAGAACTGGTCAGTAGGAGTCTCACCAGATTAAAATCAATGCTGCTGATGATGCTAGGCCACATTCTTTTCTGGAAACTCCGGGGGAGAATCCATTTCCTGCTTATTCAGGATAAGCAGAATTCAGATTCTTGTGGTTGTAGGACCAAGGTCCTCATTTTCTTGTTAGCAATAAATTGAGGGCCATCCTTCAATTCCCAGAGTCTAGAAGCCCTCCACATTTCTTGGCTCATGCCCCATTCCTCCATCTTCAAAGTCAGCCATGATGGGACAGGGCCAGGTCTTTCTCAGGTGGCATCACTCTGACTCCTCTTCACTTTTAAGAGCTATTAGGCCCACCCAAGTAGTCCACGATAATCTCACGGTCTTTCATTTTAATCACACCTGCAAATTTCCTTTTGCTATATAAGGTAACGTATTTACAGGCTCCAGGGATTTTAAGATGTGGACATCTTTGGGGAGCCATTAGTCTTTCCACCATACTCAGAAACCCAGTTTCCTAAATTATAGAGAATGAGTTGCAAGGAACCACCCTTCAAGAGAGAAAATCCTACAGGGGTCAAGTGAAGAGCTCAGAAACAAAGAGTTACTTTTAACAGTAGAGTCGAGTCTACAAACCAAGATGCTAACTCTCTGGCCATTGCTTCTGACTCCTTCCCATCCCCAACTCCCACCTCCATATCTAGTCATTGCATCCCGGGCAGTCTTCTCATTGTAGCATGGGGCTGTTGCAAGGATTCTCAAAGAGAGAATGTACATGGCATAACAGGAATAGCAAAAACTGATCCATGCTTCCTGTGATCCAGGCTTACCACATGAAGGACTTCAAACACACTTTATTATTTAATCAGTCAACAACTTTGCAAATGTGATGAACACTGAGGATCCTGAGATGGATCGATTATCCTGGATTACCTGGGTGGGCCCAGTCTAGTCCATGAGTTCTTAAAAGTGGAAGAGGAAGGCAGAAGAGTAGGTCAGAGTTATGCCACGAGAAGGACTCCTCGACCCTGAAGTGGTAGGTGATATCATTAACATCATTCCTTGTTAGTGCTTGAGAAACTGAGGCTGGGTGAGGTTTAAAAACTTGTTCAAGGCCCCACAGATCATTGCTTGTAGACCTGAGATTTGAACGAAGACAGTTTGACTTCTGAGCCTAACCTCTGAGGCTCTACTCTATCCCAGTTCCAATGATAAACTCTGTAGACCATAAACGAATACAGAAATGTGGGGTATTATTATTATTATTATTATTATTATTATTATTATTTTGAGACAGAGTCTCGCTCTGTCACCCAGGCCAGAGTGCAGTGGCTTGATCTCGGCTCACTGCAAGCTCCTCCTCCTGGGTTCAAGCGATTCTCCTGCCTCAATCTCCCGAGTAGCTGGGATTACAGGCACCTGCCACCACGCCTGGCTAATTTTTGTATTTTTAGTAGAGATGGGGTTTCACCGTGTTGGCCAGGCTGGTCTCGAACTCCTGACCTTAAGTGATCTGCCTGCCTTGGCCTCCCAAAGTGCTGCGATTACAGGTGTGAGCCACCGTGCCTGGCCGTAGGGTATTATTATTAATCTTCCTTAATCTCGCTCTCGTCTGTCCCTTCTTCCCATGCTCACTGCCCTTTTCCATACCCAGACCATCATTGCCTCATACCCGGATGAAAAATTAGAACCCTAGAACCTTCTAATTGGAAGGAATCCTAACATTCTTTGCATCCTATTTCTTCCCCCATACAGTAATCCATCCACCAATTGTACACCCACAGTCTCAATTCAGCCTCCAAACAAGTTTTATCTTGTCTACATAGTGGGAATTATGCTGGAGTTTTTTGTTATTATTATCCTTTTAGTGACAGGGTCTTGCTCTGTTGCCCAGGCTGGAGTGCAGTGGCACAATCATAGCTCACTGCAGCCTACCACTCATGGGCTCAAGGGATCCTCCCACATCAGCCTCCTGAGTAGCTGCGACTATAGGCACATACCACTACACCTGGCTATTTAAAAAAACTTTTTTCAGAAATGAGGGGGTCAAACTCCTGGGCTCAAGTGATCCTCCTGCCTTAGCCTCCTGAGTAGCTGGGACTACAGAGGTGTGGCACCATGCCCAGCTCCAAGTTACTGCAAATTTGAATTACTCACCAACATTTAAAAATCAGGAAATTTCAAATAAAATTCCAATTTTTCACCTTGCTTTACAAAATTGTAAGTTTTGGGAGATGACCCCTTTATGTTGGCTCCCTGGCCCTCTAAAGCATGCCCTGGTTACAAAAGCTGATGGAGCTGGCTCTCTCCTCTTTATATCTTCAAGTATTCATTGACTACACCCTTCATTCACTTGGCATTTGGACAGATGTCATCTAACTTTTACACTGTGTGCCTTGTTTACCCAACTAGATGCTAAGCTGCTTGATGCTTTATTTATTACCTTCCAGGAATCTAGTCCAGTGTCTTGTTTGTGGTTGATGTCCTAAAATATTTTTGCAATGACTAATGAAATCCTTAAGAAATCTCCGTCAGTCAGAGATCAGTCGGGAACCCATGACAGGTAGTTCAAGAGCAGGAATATAACACAGGGAAATGGTGCAACGATGAAGAACTGGAGCAATCCAAAGGTGAGTAACAGCAGGAAGATGCTGGAAGAGCAAAGGAGGGAGGTAATATTACCAGATACCGATGAACAGAGCTGTGGGGCAGGAATTCAGGCCAAGGGATGTTGGAGGGGGTCTGTCCAGTGAGACTGGAATCACGGAAGAGACACAGTCCCCATTAGAGATGCCAGCCAAACCGAGAGAGGGGGAGAAATACCCTGACTTCCCCTTTCCTCTTACACTCCAATCTCCTGTCACTGCCACCCACTGAACCTAGCTGGAAGCCAGTTGGCAAGGAGACATGAAAGATATTGCAAGGGGTCAGGTCCCTGTGATACAGAGTAAGGGAAGGTTGGGGATTGGATCTGAAAGTAACAAGGCAAAATGACTAATGCAGAGTCAACAGAGGAAAGACTCAAGAATACTTCTAAGATGACTGTGACTCAGATTCCAAAGTTTGGAAGAGTAGTTATAGCTGCGGATCATAGCAGATAGATGCCTTAAACAGGTCTTACAAATGTATGCTAAAATGTCCACCCAAATACATATCAAAAACAACATTAAAAAGTCAGCCATTGTGAGCCCCCATTGCCTACAGCGGTGACCTAAATAACATCCCCATTACTGACTTTTCCTCTTTTCTTAACGCCTTCCCCCTTCTCTCTTTTCCTAATGCCTGCTCCTTCACTCCTGATTCCTGGGATAACCTCCCAAATAAACTACCTGCACCACAGTTATGCAAGGTCATGTCTGGGTGTTTCTGAAGTGTTCATTTTTCTCCCTGCTGTTTGACACTGTGGTAGATATTAAGACTTCAAATGTGAGATGGTTGTCTCACAGCTATGATTGTGGTAATACTGTGAGTATTTACTTCTACCACGTTCTTCCCCAAGTTGGATGGGAAAGACAAAGGCTTAATCTTTTGGGAGTGGATCTAAAAAGATTACGACTAGCTCTCCTTGCATGAATATTTTCAACCCGACTGAAACTTGTAATCTGGTGGCAGTCCTCTGGATTGAATTACTGTTCCATAGAGAGATAATTAAAAACAAGCCGCCACGCCTAGGCACTCTTATATGGGAATCCCAAACACAACAATATTTTTGTTGTTATTACACTGGCTCTTCAGGGCTTGGGATAACAGACACTCTTCCAGGAACTGCATTTTCAGAGTTTACTACATAACCCCCAAAACTGAATGAAAACATTTCTAATTTGGCATATCCAAAACATGTTTACTTGCGCTGGGACACTGCTCAATAAGTACTCTTACATAATGTATTTATTAAACGATTAATGATGACATCATTAAAGAAAACTTCAGCTCTTAGCTGATGGAACTTCCCAAGGAGCAAGCAATCAGCAGTTCTAGGTGGACTTTGGCCAGAACGGGAAGAAGGTGAAATGTGTTCTTGAGTCCCCAGCCCCCAATTCTTGCTTTTCTCCTGCCTTCACACAGTATCGCCCACCCAGAGAACTGGGGAAGAGTAAAGCTGAAGAGGGTACCATCTGGTTACAAATGACAACTCCAGGGCACCAGGTGAGTGCTTTGTGTAAGAGGAGACTGCTGCGTGGTGATAGGATTAAAACTCATGTCCCCCGCCTCCTGGTTCTACGTCGCACATGGTGCCCATGACACTCTTTAAACCTCAGAAACCACTTCCCTATGGGTTCCAAGTCTAAAGCCTTAAACTAGAAGCTGAAAACCCCTGGTGGCAGATTGCATTTTCCATGAATGGCCACAGCAATATTTCTCATCTCACAAGTTCTTCCAAAACTTTGCCACTCTTCTGTCAAGAGGTGGAACCTATATCCCCTTCTCTTGATCCTGGATGGGCTTTGAGTAAGAGAACATGGTGCAAGTAACACTATTGGCTTCAGAGGATAGGTGACAAAAGGCAACAGAGCTTCTGCCTGCTCGCTCTCACTCTCTCTCTTTCTCCCTCTCTCTTATCCTTAGAACCCAGGCCATGTTGAGAGGCCACATGGGAACTGAGGTTCCTAGTCGTTAGCTTCCACTGAGCTCCCAGCCAACAGCCAGCAATAACTTGCCAGACATGTGCACGGGCCATCTTGGAAGCAGAGGATCCAGCCCTCAGCCAAGATGCCCCAGTTGACTCCACGTGGACCAGGAATGAGCCCTCCTGCTGAGCTCTGCCCAAGTTACAGATCTGTGAGCAAACTAAATGACAGCTGTATTCAGCTACCAAGCTTGGGGTGGTTTGTAACACAGAAATAGATAACTGGAATATCACCCGTGTCTTTCTTTCCAAACTTAGTTAACTGAGTCTGAGCTAAAGAGAATTCACAATATGTATCTTATACTGAATACCTACTATATTTGGGACATGATCACTAATAATCCTCACAATAGCCCTACAATAGGAAACAATCATCCTCATTTCACAGATAGAGAGTTTAATGGTAAGCCTGAACTCAAACTCAGATTTGTTTGACTTCAGAGCCCATACTTCTTTCACTAAGCTATACCATCTCCATTCACTCTATGCTGTCTGGCCACCTGAGAGGCTGTCTGTGAGTCTATCTCCTTATTAACCCATCATTCCTTCTACTTCCGTGATAATCAGCAAGGCTGAATGATAGCTCTCAGTTCTATGGGGTCTTTCCAGGAGAAGGGCCAAAAAGGAGTGGCTGATCACAAGGTCATCAGCACAAAAAGATGGTGGCCAAGCTAGAGTCCTGCATGGCACATGAGCCAGATGATCAAGTAATGAAAGCTATGCTAAGAAATGTAGGCTTTATTGTGTGGAGAAGGAGAAGCAGTAGAGGCTTTTTAAGGTACATTTCAGAACAATTATTATTTTTATATTTATTATATATTATTTATATATATATAAACCACAAATATATGTTACATATATACATATGTTTTTATGTCTATATATACACATATATACATTTTTATGAATATATATACATATGTATATACAACACATAAAATTTACCATCTTAACTTTTTTTGAGATGGAGTCTCACTCTGTTGCCCTAACTGGAGAGCAGTGGCACGATCTCGGCTCACTGCAACCTTCACCTCCCAGGTTCAAACAATTCTCAGCCTCCCTAGTAGCTGGGATTATAGACATCCGCCACCACGCTCGGCTAATTTTTGTATTTTTAGTAGAGACAGGGTTTCACCATACTGGCCCGGCTAGTTTTGAACTCCTGACCTCAGGTGATCTGCCTGCCTCGGCCTCCCAAAGTGCTGGGATTACAGGCATGAGCCACTGTGCCTGGCCTCATCTTAACCATTTTTAAGTGTACAGTTTGGTTGCATTAAGTATGTCCACATTTTTATGCAACCATCTCCACTTTCTCTCTTTAGAACTTCTGCATCTTCCCAAACCAAAACCCCATACCTGTTAAACAATAACTCCCCATTCTCTCCTCCCCCTTGCCCCTGTTCCTGATACAGAACAATATTTTTTATATAACTATGAAATAAATGAGGGAAATCTGAAGTGGGAAGGCCAGAGAGTAAGCTACAGGGGTAGATTGGGAAAGACACGATGAGGACTTGAACCCATGCTTGGGAAGCTGGCATGAAAAGAGAGGTTCAACAGATCCTTCTAAGGTAAAAGTGAGAGGATTTGGGGGGGGTCACTGGGATGTGGGAGTGAGGAATAAACAGGAATCGGCCTGCCAGCAGTTAATCTATCAAACTCCCACAGTCCACATGACCCTGTCCTGCACCCCTGAAGAAAGGAAGTGTGGCAGGTAGGTTAAGAGCTTAGACTCCAAAGACCAGGACAGCCTAGGTCCAAATTCTGGCTCTGCCATTTGCTAACTATGTAATTTTGACCACTTACTTAACCCATCTGCAATTCAGTTTCCCAGATGAAAAACAGGCATGAAGATATAATTATAATAGGACATACTTCATAGGTACTACTGTTAAAGTATCGAGAAGAATACACAGTAAATACTGCTCACGTCAGTAGTTAATACAATGACTGTATTAGTCCATTTTCATGCTCTGATAAAGACATACCCAAGATTGGGTAATTTATAAAGGAAAGAGGTTTAATTGACTCACATTTCCACATGGCTGGGGAGGCCTCACAATCATGGTGGAAGAGGAAGGAAGAGCAAAGGGACGCCTTACATGGCAGCGAGCAAAAGAGAGAGCCAAGTGAAAGGGGGAAATCCCTTATAAAAACATCAGATCCCATGAAACTTATTTGCTACCACAAGAACAGTATGGGGGAAACCGCTCCTGTGATTCAATTATCTCCTACCAGGTCCCTCCCACAACATGTAGGAACTATGGGAGCTGCAATTCAAGATGACATTTGGGTGGGAATACAGCCAAACCATATCAAGGACGCATTCTCTATTCTTCATTTTCCCAGTGACTTATCTAAAAATGATTTCTCCCTTCTTTGTGCAAGACTTCCACTCCAGTTTCTTTTCTCCTTATATTATTTGCTTCCAGTTTCTAAAATGTCCTTGGAATCACTATGAGAACATGGGAGGAGAGAGGCAGAGGGCTTCAGGAGATCTGATGACCATAACTTATGTTTTATAAGTTCTTGTACAAAGTCAAGAACAGGTGAAATTTCCAGGAAGAATGTAGAAGATACAGTTAATCACGATGTTATTGGGTTGCCCTTAAGTGGGATGCATGGTCTTCCTAGGGGGTCATAGGCTGGCTTCTAAAAAGTAACTATTTTTTTTCTGATTATAATCATAATGTGGTTTTATGTGGGAAGAATTCTAAGCCACAGAAAAATATAAGGAAAAACTTTAAAAGTACTCCTAATCTTACCACTCAAAGATAACGTTAGCTGGCTGCAAGGATCTTCAGAATTCTCTAGGCCAGTTGCAGAACTGAAACAACAAAATAGAGCCTTGGGAGATGTTAGCTTCATGTTTTATTTAGAAGTATTCACAGATAGAAAATTGAGCTCATTAGCATGCTAGTATGTGTAGTGGCTCCATAATGCATCACCTTCGCTAGACCAACTACGTTTCCCAAAATTCCCTTTCCTGCATGTTTCTAATTAATGCAGGGCAGAAGAGAGTTTCCTGTGGGAGATCTGGGCAGATGTGGGCAGCAGTCATTTTGTAGATCAGATAGGTTGTCAATGATCAGTTGCCTTATCTTATTAGGACCAGGGAGCTGCCGGGCCTGTAACTGCTCCACCTTCTCCTGGGTTTTCCTTCAGCTTCTTTGGTTCCTGGGCCATGTGTGTACTTTATGATGAAGGGCCTAGCTTCTGCAGGACATCCATACTGCCAAGGTCAAAAGCAACAAGAAGTGACGTGGGTCTCAGTCTGTTCTCATGGGCTACAATGCATGCTTCTGGTTTCCAGGTTGTTCTTGCTCTCCCTTATCTTACATTTATCCTTCCTTCCCAACTGCCTGTCCCATAGATGTCAAGTCCCAGCATCAGATGTGAAGATGAGAGCTTTATAGAGACTGTTTAACCAGCTCCCACAGTTGTATTAGGACAAATCCCTGTAGCAAATCCCTTTGTGTGTGTGTGTGTGTGTGTGTGTGTGTGTGTGCGCGCACGCACCTTAGTGGTTCTCCTTCTGTGATTGAATCCTGACTTACACGGTTTGAGATAGAAACCTTCTGAAGCAATTAAATGGTCTATAACTGTGCTGTCCAACATGGTAGCCATTAGCTACATATGGCTATTTAAATTTAAATTAATTAAAGTTAAACATAATTAGAATTTAGTACCCCAGTCAAGTTTCAAGTGCTCAATACTGTGGTCACATGTGGCTGATGGCCACTGTTTTGGGCAGCACAGATATAGAGCACTTCCATTATTGTAAAAAAAGAGTTCCATTAGCACTGGTCTATAGTGATAATTACTAGTATTTACTGAGTTCTCACCATGTGTCAGATGCATTACAGGCATTTATTTTACATGCATTAACTCGGGGGTCCTCAACCTCCAGGCCAGGGATTGATACTAGTCCATGGCCTGTTAGGAACCGGGCCACATAGCAGGAGGTGAGTGACAGGCGAGCATTACCACCTGAGCTCTGCCTCCTGGCAGATCAGCATCAGATTCTCATAGGAGAATCTGAACCCTATTGTGAACTGCACATGTGAGAGATCTAGGTTGTGCACTCCTTATAAGAATCTAGTGTCTGATGATCTGAGGTAAAACAGTTTCATCCTGAAACCATCCCTCCTTCTCCCGCGCCAACCCCCAGCTGGTGGAAAAATTGTCTTCCACCAAACCAGTCCTTGGTGCCAAAAAGGTTGGGGACCGCTGCATTAGCTCATTTAATCTGCCTATACCTATGGAATAGGAAGTGCTACTTTACATGTAAGAAAACTGAAACACAATGATTAAATGTCGTTAACATTTGACTGCAGAGCCTATGGTCTTAACCTATGCCACACTGTGAAGGTCTAGGTGGCCCGGCATGGCACAAAGGGAGTGGGTGGCTCTGGTGGCGCCTCCTGCCCTCAAATGACTCTCTGAGGTTTGGACATTAGGCATCTCAGTAGCAACCATAATGGATTCCTCTAGTTTTCTTAGATTATATGAACTTGGGTTCTTACATGATTGCAGCAAAGAAGGGATGCCTACACCACCCCATTCCACCTTCCAATGGCAGAATGAGATGCACCAACAATTCTGGCAAGAAGGGTCCCAGTCAGATGTATCAGTTAAGGCAATGCAAGCTGCTACAACAAACATGCCCTGAAATCTCAGGACCTTTAAAAAATGGAAGTTTATTTTCCAGGTACAGTTTAATCAGCAGCCTAGAGTGAAGGGGTGGGAGGCCAGGGAAGAGGAATGTCATTCAGGGACCCACATTGACAGAGGTACTGCTATCTTCAATATGAAGATTCCAAGTTTGCTCTGGAGAGTACCATCTGGCAGGCAAACAGGGAAAGAGAGAAAGTGATAGGAATCAAGTGGGAGATTTTTTTTTTGAGACAGAGTCTCACTCTGTCACCCAGGCTGGAGTGCAGTGGCACGATCTCGGTTCACTGCAACCTCCACCTCCCAGGTTCAAGCAATTCTCCTGCCTCAGTCTCCTGAGTAGCCAGGATTACAGGGTTGTACCACCACACCTGGCTAATTTTTGTATTTTTAGTAGAGACGGGGTTTCACCATGTTGGCCAGGCTTGTCTCGAACCCCTGACCTCAGGTGATCCGCTCTCCTTGGCCTCCCAAAGTGCTGAGATTACAGATGTGAGCCACAGCGCCTGGCGAGGTGGGAGATTTTTAATGGCCAGGCCTGGAGGTGGCACACATCACTTATACCCACGTCCATTGGCCAGCACTCAGTTACACCGCCACTTCTAACTACAAGAGAGGTTGGGAAATGTAGCCTAGCTGTGTGCTGAGGAAGAAAAAGTAAAAGCTTTGGTGCCAGCCAGTGTCTGCCACATCAGATTTAATTTGAGTGCTGTAAAGTAATTAATACCCATTAAACTAAGGGTAGGACAAGATTAATGCTAAAATCACTCTCCCCAGCCACCATTTTCTCTCTTGTTCTTTGTCATGATATTGACAAGGTCAAAAGTCAGGCAGTCAGTATGAACCCGAGGAGGAGAAGTCCTTGCCACTTTGAGGCTGAATATAAACAACCCCTTCTTTGTGACTCACCCTATCAGCTTTGCTCCTAGCGAATGTTCATGTCGTGGTTCTTCTGGGACCCTTGAGAGTGGGACTCCCATGTGAGGAACTAGTTCTGTAAACAATTACGTGCTAATAAAAAACCATTAAGAAAGTTAGAATTAGGCATAGTCCTGCTGCATAGAAATCCTACTTAGTTGGAAAAATTGTATGTTTAAGTTGCCTGTGTTCTGAAGCCATGTTAA